CACATAAATAAACTGTATAAGCATTTTCGTATAAGTCTAAGCACTTGAATAATATATTGGTTACTTAATACTGATATTTTCATCCAAGGATAACAAAAACAATATGGCTTAAAGAATTGCAACGTTTTTTTGTCAGAATTATGTACCAACTTTCATATAATATTTTATGTAGACAATATTTCCTTCTTAATGTAGTTCTGTTGCATACTTTATACAGACAAAAGCATTGTAAAAAAAAAAGTAAATTACTTCCATAAATATTTTCTTGAGGATACATCCTTAGTTCTGCAAAATACTTAAGAAAACTCTTACCGCTGTTAGTATCCTAGTTGAGAGGAAGGCCCTTCTGAAAGCTTCCAAATTGTAAAAACTTTTCCCCAAAAAACAAACAATACTTTTTTTAAAAGGCCCTCAAATATATACAAAAAAGTTACTGCAAAGAGTTTCCAGATAAGATAACAATTCAGTATTACAAGAAATATTTGTAACCATTCAAAAATTTTAACATCTAAAAACGTTTCCAAAATACACACATAGTATTAAAAAAAAAAAAGAAAGAGAATCTATGTCAAGTATAACTCAAGATAAATACACATCTGCAAGTAAAACTGTAAAATACTTCATACAGGGTAAACATTTATATCAATCACCTATAGCTAGTAACTGCACACGATTGTCCCTTTGAAATTCATCCTAGAAACACAAACCATCATCCCTACATCTAAGATCTTCAACAGCCCTCTGAGCACTTCAGCAATATAGCAAACTGAATGGACAGCAGTGGTTTTGCAGATAGGAAAGAGATCCGGGTTGAAGACAAATCAGGAGTGGAGTGATATCTTAAAGAATGGGGCTTGTATGAGGATAATTCCATCGTATTTTAAAATATGGTGGCAAAAGCAAGTGGAAAATGCATGTCAGTTAATTTAACTTGAAACACACGTGTTGATGGCTTGTTGCATGCTGTTCAGAAAAAATTTCTGTATTTCTGCAAGACAAAGAGAGCTAATCTATGAAGTCTGACATTTCCAAAAGCTTTTAACTTTTAATGTTTAAATACTTTTATTTTTGGAATAACTACTAGAGCATCATAGGTATGCAACCCATGTATAATCTAAATTTCACGTTCTATAAAAAGGTAAAATATAGAGAATACTTCTTTGTATAAGGCTTCTCTCAGATATATGGAGCTTCACATTTTTAGTTTACAAATTAAGTCCCATATAATGGGGAACTTTAAAATACACCTATTTTCAGAAATAATATATACTCTTGTGTATTTATCTGAAATTAAAAAGCAACTTTGAGACAAAAAGGCCTCAAACTTTGCTTGTGTGGCATAGTTTTACATCTGTGGTAGCAGCAGTAGAAACTGGACAAAATGGGGCCATCCTTTAAACTACAGGGATTTTTCTTCTTCACCATTAAATGAAGTATTCGTAACAACCTCATTGGAGCCTCATCAGGTTAAAGCAGCTAAAAACCTATGCCACGCATTTCAAATCACTAAGACTTTTCTCCAGAGCAATGCCAATGCCAAATTCTGTGTGAAGTGTTCTGACTGACTGAGGAAACAAATTGTGTTTAGTTTTGGTTGTTGTTGGTTTTTATTGTTGAGTTTTTTTGTGTGTGGTTTTTTTGTTGTTTTGTTTTATTGTTATTTTTTTTAAGAAATAAATGAAAGCTTAAAAATGTCCAAAGAGGGGAAAGGAAAAAAAGAAAGTGTGTGCTGGATAGATTAGTAGGCAGGCAACAGCAAACATCTGAGGTTAAAAATCAAGTTTGGCAAATAAATGCACAGAGTCGAGTTTCTGTCAGATACATCCCTAAAGAATACTCAATTTAGGGAGGCCTATATTGATTTAAAAAACACTTTTTTTTACTGATACCTGCTTTGCTTCTGGTAAGACTGCCTAAAAATGTTTTCAGTGCTTACTAGCTGATGTTCTAAATGAAGAGCTGGTTGAAGAGAACGTCAGAAAACATTCAGAAAAATTTAAGAGGTAAATCGACTCATCCTCTTTCCAATAAAAAGTCTGAATTTTTAATGTTTTTCCAATTTGGAAAGAGGTGGCTAGGTCTATAGGTGAACTAACTTTGCAGGGGGAAGAGAAGACATTTACATTTTGTAATCAATCTGTTTTGAAATCAAAATTCAGACATTTCCCTTCTGTGCCATTAACTAAAAGGCAACGGTCATAAGCTATGAGACCGTCATATGTTAGTTATGTGGATGTGTTTTTCCAGCATCCCACAAACTATACACAGATGAGCGTGGAGCAAATGCCCAGGACCAAATGCTGCAATCGCAGGAGAAAACCTCATGCAGGGAAGCAGAGGTGAATGCTCCCCTCATGCGAGCTTGGCGCTGCCACGTTCCCCAGGCTCCAGATCATTGGGGAGATGAGGTTTCAGCCCCACAGCAGCAGGGAAGGAGCATTGTGACCACTGCCCAGGAATCCTTGGTCACTCTCCCTCCTCAGCCCAATTTTGGCAGGAATGGCAAGGCAAGCGGCTGCTTCCAGCCCTGAGATACCCAGGGCCTGATGGCATCCGCATCCCATACCAGGATGGATTTGCGGTCTATGAGTCAGGCAGTACAAACTACGACAGTGTTGCTTCTTGCTTTCCTGCATGTTTTGGTTTTTATCTGCTTTTCGTCTACATAAGTGCAGGGGAAAATCCGTTCTCCTCGTTATTTCAAATATGCTAAATATTACTTAAATACTTCATATGTCTGCTGCCTAGAATATCAATGATATAAATATTGAACTCTCATAAGTATGCTTTTAAGAGTTATTGTTCTATGCCTACAGACATTAATTGTTTTAAAGTCAATCATATGTATTTTTAGGAACCTTATTTTAAAGAACAACCTAAAAATTCATAAGCTAAAGGCATTGCCATGCAGTGTTGAATCTAGATAAACAATTTTTAATAGGGCACTGTCATGAAAATAGCAACAATTGCATATAATGGTATCCTATAGTTAGTCTTTGTTCAGAACCTGGTGATGTGACGTATTGATGTAACTTCATCAAGGGATGTGCTATTTTACTAATCTAGTGGTTATCATAAGACAGAAATCATTTTAACACAGAAAAAATAGTTGACAGCAACATCTTAGCTTCAGGAAGAAAATAAAATAACATTTGCCCTTATCTTAACTTAAGGGGGTTTTTTTACACGTCCTTTAGCAGGATGTGAAGCATCAAGGCAATTTTTGTTCATGTACATTTAAGTGCTCAAGAGGAAAAAACGGAACTGGTTTATTATGCAGCTCTTTCAATATTACTTGTGCTTGAAACAAAATAGTAAGATTAATACTAGAGGTCAAGCTTTGAAAATCCACCCCTTGATTTGCCTGTGTGTTTTCTAATTCTTATCTGTATGGGTAGATTAGTATCTTTGTTTAGAGAATTTGTCTCTATGGTAATTTCTAAGTCTGTGCAAAAGAATGTGTTTCCATTTGAAAATGCTAAAACCGCGTATCTTCACTGAGGCAACTGAACTTGTAACTTTCAATATTCAGCTTTTGCTATTTTAGTTGATGGAACTGCCAACTGGGCAAAACTAGTTTCAAAGTAATTAAATTAGTTAATATTATTTTAGCATGGCATAGCACTTTTCATCCAGTGATGTCAAAACACTTACAGATATTAAGTAAGCCTCACAACTCTCCTGTGAGGTAGGTATACTAAAGTATTATTATCCCCATTTTGCAGCTGGGGAAACTGAGATCCAGAAGATCTTGTGACTTGCCCAAAATCAGCGAGCTAATAGAAGAGCCGTGGTCAGAAGCCAGGAGTCCCAGTATTTATCCATTGCTCTGACCAGTAGGCTGGGTCACTTGGGCACCCATAAATAATGATGTTTGCGAGATATGTACATGAAACCACCACCAGAACAAGCAGAAACAATTTTGCCTTGCATATAGCAAAGCAGGAAAAATGGCAAAAGTTTCACGTTTCCTATACAAATGCTCTCTGAAAGTTTTCAATTTGCTTTACAAGATCTTGACTGTACACACTGATAACATCCTGCTATAACTTGGCATAAACCCCCCTCTGTCTTAGCGTTATGGAATTAATCCTCAAAACAAATTTAATTCACATCAAGTTATTTAGGATTTAAGTATTTCCACTAAGTATCATTCACACAAATCAATCTCTCTAAAGGAAACTTCATAAAAATAGAAATTGTTGATTAAAACACTATCCGTGTAATTTTCAGTGAATTGCTTGTTGTGTCCTTTTGCCAATGTACTTTTATGGAGACATACAAACAGGATACTGTCTTGAGGTACTTTCAGTTCGTGATATTTCCCAATCCCTGATGAGATACTTCTTTGCAGCAGGATGCCCCTGCACAAAGTTGTACCTGAAATGGGACAATGAAAGATAAGTCCTGCATTTCTCCTCAGGTATGTAGCAGGTGTTTCAGGAAGACATAAAGAGGGAAGGTTATATAGTGTTCTCCATGCCTCAAAACATCCCTATGGCTAACATTTTTTATATTATAACAAATTTTTACAGTAGAAAACAGGACATAAAAATATTTCCAGGAAGTGGCTTTAAAACTATTATAAATAGTAAGTTTGGCTAATCTTTCAATTAAGGGTTTTGGGGACAGTTCTAAGTATTCTAATCTCCCCGTATTCACAGTAAATTTAGTGTGCTTTTGGCCTAATGAACAGCCCATACACATACAGGGACCATTTCAGTGGGATTATATGACAAGAGAAGGGTCTGTTAGTCACATGAGCAAGCCAAATTCATCTCCTCCAAAAATCTCTTGGAATCCTTCCTGGTGCTCTGGGTCCCATTATGGCATTCCCTTTCTACCCAACCCACACCCTCAAACAATTATTCACTTTTTTTTTGCCACATGTTGCAAAAATGATTTTGCCTAAGCCCTGCCCAAGCAATGGTAACACAGAAAAAGACCAAGAAAGCAGCAGCACAAAACTCTCAGACTTTCTAAAACTGGACAAACAATAATTTTCCTTCTTTTATGCTGTGGCTTGTTTCATCTTCCTTTGTCTTGTCATATAATAGGAATAATGTTCATGTTGTGGACGAGTGCTTGCAATTAGTGGCCCCACAGTTATTTAACCTCTGCAAAAGCCATACATGTAACATATATCCCTTGTGAATATTTTACCTTGCCTATTGAATAGTACTTCATTTCACCTGGCCATGATATAAGGTCTGTGTAAACAATTAGCAGAACCTCCAACCGTGGTTCTGTTATGAACACTATCAGTAACGCTTTATATATGTGTGTGTACATATATATAAAAAATTACATATATATGTATGCATACAAATCATAGTCCTGTAAATACCTGTTGCATGCGTGCGCATGCACAGGAGAAATGTTACATTCTATTAATGGTAAGGCATATTATTAGATAGGCAATATTGGCAATTATTTTAGCTTTTATCTTGATTTGTTGTGTTGCTGTTGATCACATGCTGCCAGAGGATCTTTAAGGATGATGGGGACGGGAAGAGGCCACTTCAAAGGTTTATTGCACACGGCGGCAGTAGTAGCCCAAAACTTTGCACTTCTCACACAGATGCTGGGGATGTTCTTTGCTCTGATCCGAAACATCCAGGCCATCCGGCTTCTCCAGGGGTCTCTGCAGTGGAGGGAAGGAAATCAGAATAGAATCGTAGCAATACCAGGTTGGAAGGGACCTCAAGGACCATCTGGTCCAACCTTAATTAGATCCAAGGTTTTGTCACTGTTAGCCTTTACTATGCATGTGAAGCCTACTTTTCTGCTTAAGTGAGCCTTCTCCTAGTAGTCATAGAGGTACTGTATTTCTTTCCTGAAGGGATGAAATATATTTTCAGCTCTTCAGCTCTCCATTCTTCTTCATAAAGGTAGTGGTGACTTTGTTGTAGACAAAATACTAAAAGAATGAACTGGGGACTATATTTATAAAAGCAGTAACACAGAAGAGTTTATTCTCTTGGCTCCAGTAACTGAGATGTCCCAAGGGCATTAACACCTCAAGCAAGGGAATCCCATTACCCAGCAATGCCAGCAAGGGTCGCCAATGTTAGGATTAGCTGCTACAAAAAGAAAACTGTCTTAACCACACACAGATATTATATAGCTAAATGAGGTTTTCCCAGTACTCAATCCCATATTTCTGAGGCTGCAATTTAAATTTAAATTAAATTTAAAAACCCAAACAAAACAACCCCAACAAACAAAAAAAACCTTGCCACACAACCCTTTTGCCTTGAACCTGAGTGTTAAACTGACTATGTATTTTTAATAATAATTGTGAAATCACAGGGTTGGAGGTATATTCAGCTAAACAAGGGAATGAAACGGCTTTGCTTTTAGTAGATCTTCTTTAATTTTCCATGACATGTAAAGGGTTTCTCAATCATTCTGAAAATAAAATACCCATGTTAAATACCGCAGTAAGGTCAAGTGTTTGGTAAGTCTGATAGATAGAGGGGTGATAGAAACCCAACAAAACCAAACCAAACCAAACCAAAGTCCCTAACCCATAATTTCTCTGTTTTTGTGAAATGTACCTGAAAGCCTATTTCATTGCGCAGTGCATTCCCATAAGGACAGTGGTTGTTCTATGCAACTGTGGTAGAAACAGCATGTGGTGTGAAACCTGAAAACAAGCCATAAGCTTCTCGCTGTTCTCACAGGGATACTGGACTCTAAGTCATCAAAATATAATTCTGTAAAATCTTAAAGTACACCTGATCATCTAAGTTTTCATTTATATGTTCTTCATTCCAAAGCCACCCACCTGAGGCCCTGTGGATAGGAAGAACAGAGACATTCAAAGCTACTTTTTTTTCTTTTGGCTATGTAACACTCCAAGAACAGCTCATAATCCAGAGAATAGAAGGGTTTCTCAGCTCTTTGAATAGCTGAAATGAGACAAAATATATTCTACTATCCTGAACAAGGGATGTCTGCAGTTTCTTGCTTGGCTGTATTGAATTATAAGTGAAATACTCATTATATTGCACAGCTAGTAAAAACAATGTATGAGAGTAATTCAGCGGTGATTGCCAATGGTTTGTTACTGATTCAGTGTTCTTACCCATGATACTGCCTGAAGTTTCATCTGTTCTGGGCCACATATTATAAGTCTTTAACTTCACTTACAATTTAATTGCAAATTGGATTTCCTGTATTAGGTAGGGGATAAGGAAGGTAGATGGACCCCTCATTTCCTCTAAATCCTTTAACTTCCCCCTGCAGCCCCACTGAGCTTTGAATGACTTGTTGGAAGTCAGTATGTTAGGATTTGTTATTGGAACCAGCGATGCTGTTTCTGGGGTTGCAACCCAACCGCTGGTGCAGACTGTACTCTGCCACAGCACAGACAAGTTGAATAAGTTTATTTGGTCAGCAAAACTGCTCTTCTGCCTTTTCTACCACTTATTCCGTCAACATCTGCCCACAAATTTTCTTCAAGAATTTACATTACATAAATGTAGTCAAAGGTGACGCTCAGGTTCAGGAGTCCCAGGAGTTAATTTATGCTCCTCAACAGAGAATTTGAGAGTTTTGAAATGCTATGCTTAAAACAGGCTAGTTGACTCAGCTCTGATTGCTTCTACATGCTAGCTGTGCTCCGATTGAAGGGAAAAAAATACACCAGTTATCATGTTTATTGATATAAGCCAGATTTTTTTTTTTTTAATACGCAAGGCCTTGGGAATCATTTTTCCTGGAAATAGTGCAAAGGACATTGGGAATGCCTTGGAGCGCCAAGAGTTTTTGGATGGTTTTCAGAAACAATAGCTCTCCGTGGTTTGCTTTCCCCCTGTGTTGATTGAGCTCAGCTTTCTGGCCTGCAAAACATTTTGATTTCAGAAATGTTATTGTTACCAGTGCGTTACGACAAAGCGGCTGGGGAGAGAGGGGTTATGAACGCAGGAAAGCAGGTTGCCGAGGGCTAGCTGGAAGAAGCGGAGCCGAGCAGAGCCTGGGGTTTTTTGTGAGGGTGGTGGAGGGCTGAGGCTTCAAAACTGGTAGTCTTTGTGTGGTTTGTGTCCCCAAACCACTTCAGTCAACTTTTGCATAAAATGAAGTCCCAGCTTATCTCCATTTGCTTGTTTTTCTCTTAATACATTTCTTTTAAGACAAAAAAACCCCTTCAAACATGCTGAGAAGCAGCTGTTCTTGTTCTGCTGCTATTTGTGCGTTACTAATTGTGGAGGACTTTAAAGTAATAACCCTACATCCTTGCAACCTTTCTTACACCATGCTAAAGGAGTAGGATATTAGACAGCCAAAGAGCTGTGTGTCCATCAGTGCTGGACTTCCTTGGCACAGGCTGAACTTGGAAAATTCTCACCAGCTTTGGCATGGTGGAAGCAGAGGGGAAGGAGAAGATGCCAGCGCAAGAGAGGGGCATCAGGGTCAGGCTGCTGCATGCTGTGTGTTGGTTTCAGGGATTGCCTGAGTTATGTAGAAGATGCGAATAGCTGAGGAGGCTGCAAGAGTTCTGTGCAGCTGCTGAGAGGCCAGTGGCATGAAAACTCAGCCATGCATTTGGAGAGGGTGTGGAGAAGGGGACAGGCTATTTGGCTGAAAAAATAATTCCTTTCCTAAGAAAGAGGTGAAATGGAGCTGGTAAAACAACAGAAAACCCTGCTATGTTTCTCTGGGAAAGGTATGCTTTTTCCATTAAACTGAGAGTTTAAATATATTCAAATTTCATTGTCTTTTTTTTTTTTTTTAAATGCAAGCATCCAGGATTTGGCAGTCCATATTTCAGTAAAAACTACAGCGATGGGCACTTCTACATTCTCCATTTTTGTGCGTCTTTCTTTAATTTTCTCCTGGTAGTTGCTGTGTGGAAATAATCTTGTGCAGCTCCACCAGGAAAGTATTTGGTGGAAGTGACTGAAGCTGTTGCCTTGGGGGAATGATGCTGAAATAAATTTAAATTTATACAGCAATTCCTGTCCTGCAAATTAACTTTTGATTGTGAACTATTGCTGTCTCAGTGTACATGTACTGAATGAAATCTGCATTACTCACAAGTCGGTTAAAAACCCAAACCCCTCAAAACAAAAAGCTCACCCTTATGAAGTGTTAGGTGTCAGAGAAAACAACAAGAGGACATACTTGAGAAAAATTTCTTCCACTAAAAAGCAGGATGAAATAATGTGGGTGCTTATGTTTGTACTTAGAAGACTGATTTTTTTTTTCTGTAGAATGGAAAAATTTACACCAGTGATGGATAAAGAATCGCATCAAAATTAAATGTAAGAAAAAGACTTAAATATTTTTTTAACTCATTACCTCAAGTCTTAATGGAGCAAATGAGATGATTAAATGACAGATTAGATATGTGAATAGAAATGGATTGTGCAACTGGCAGGGTAATTGTTAGGTTAACAGTCTTAAGGAGCCATAGGTAGCTATGCTTCCCTCGAGATACACATGCTATCATGAATTTGTAAATTTTTAGTCCAATAAAAAATTACGTACTGGGGGAAAAGGATGAAATGCAATGTGCCCTCTTGGGCAGTGGACCCTCTGCTTTTCTGTCTGCCTAAGGGGAACAGGGACATTAACGAGGCCCTCAGTCATTGCAATGGATCTGAAAGGCAGTGACAAGAAGGCTGCACATCAGAGACATGATGGTCAGAGAAAGCAAGGAGCCTCTGTCAGCAGCACACCTCTGGGACAGGCCAACTAGGAATGAATGATAACCACATGAGCTAAATGGCAAAAATATCTTTTTAGAGTTTAGAGAAGCAGCAGCCTGGGGTAATCTGTATTCCCACTGTTAAAGCACATAAGTATGGGCATGCTGGGGAGGGTTTACTGAATCTATAGAGTCAAAAGATTGTACTTGTAGTCCCTAAACTGCTGAAAAGCTTATCAGGCTTGAGTGATCAGGCCCATCCTTGCCCACACTGAGAGAAGAGATGTGGGTGTGGATGCACCCACATATGGGAATTGTGATGGGACCACTGCATTGCCCATGGAAGTAATAGCTTGGATATCATGAAGAATGTATTTACATACCAAATTATTTCCAGTCCAACAGTAAATTCCTGACAGCTGGAAGAAAATAGTGTCCAAGAGAAGAAGTCAGTCACCAGATGGCTGGTTCTGCACCAGTGCAACAGCTGTCATCACAAACAGCACTGGAGTTAGCCTTGATAAGTGGCCAGCCAGGAAGCAACCCCAGGCACAGATGTTGCCGCTATAGCGGGCAGGGGAAGAAAATGAGAATTCAAAGCTTGGCATCTGGGCTGTTACAGTGCCAAGAATGCCAGTGAATGGCTATAAGGACTGGCTCCATTGCTGGAGCAGGGTAAGAAGGAACATAAACAACTACAAAATCCAAATTCCTTAGAAGAATAAGAGGTAGGTTTAAGTCCCATCTGAGACTTCTGTTTATGTTTAGAGTAGGTAAAGTAACTACTCAGGAAATGGCTTTTGGAACAGTGATAGAGCAGCTCTGTCAGGTTAGTTCTTTGGTCTCCTATTCCTCAATAAGGTTTGAGCTCAACTGGCCTCCAATTTTTGCCCTGTGTCCTGCGATTTTCTGTAAGCATTCCCACAGGGGAGGTTTAACGCTTGAGGGATGTGGTGAAAACAGTGAAGCAATTTAGTCATGAAAACAAA